CTTCAGGGAAAAACTGTCTACACCTTCCCTTAGGTAGGAATTTCGAGGAAGATGAAGCCCGATTCCAAAAAAAGGGGTAGAGGAGATCAGGTAGTGAACACCAAACTGACTACCACGCATCGGGAATTAAAACAGCTTATTAAGAACTAAGAACCAATATAATTCTGCCATCGAACGTACGTCGTCCGAGAGATCCTCGTTGCGGCCACGCGACGTTGCAAATGGCGTAACACGCGCGGCACTCGCACCACAAACTAAATGATTAAACGTGGAAGTGTCACAGCATGTCGAGTCAATTAGGTAGGAAATAGCGCCCAGTTTGTGCGCGTTGCCCTTTTTCTTCCAGGTGGGGGGGGGGTCGTACGTTGGGGATGAACTGAGAGGAGGTAGCAGTTCGTTGCTGAAGGGTTCGCCGGGATCGATCTCTGAGAAAAGTGTTTTAGGTTGATGAACTTTCTTCTAATTTCTTGCTTCGTACGTGCGCTCCCCCCTCCCCCTCCCCTCGCGACAGCAGTTTGGGAGAACTGGAACCCGGCAATATTGCCAATCAATACAACAAATTTGCTGCTTTTGCTTTTACGAACAAATATTTTTTAACACTCACAGATACAGTAGGAAGATGTCAAGTGGGCGTGGTTCTCGGCCGATTTCTCGTAATAATTTAGTAAAATCGCTATCGTCTCCGTGCTCCACTGCTTTTCTATCGATTGCCTCCGCTTCATTTTCCAAATGCGTCCGAACGCAAAACTTAATAAGAAAGCAATATAGCATTTAGAACAAAAACACAAAAAACCTCCCTCCCTCTATAAAAACAAGATACCCTCTCCAACTCCCCAACAATGTTGAAATAAGGTGGAAACTTTGGCACATGACTGATCGCAGAAGACCAAACTAACGACTCACCAAATATTTGCTCCAGTAGTACAGAAAACGTTCCACAGGACCAACAAGCTTCGCCCTTTTCAGGAAAAATGATGCCCGAGCAAAATCGCGATTCAGTAGGAGATTCTTTCCAAAAAGCAAATTACGGTTACCAAGATTTATCGACGTTGAATGAACAACGGGCTGTAAATGATCAATCTTTTTATAGAAACGAAGCGGAGAACGAAAAAGCGCAGGTCTGGATGTCTAATCTATGTGCTAGATTTTCGATTACTAAGATGCAAAGAAGGAAATGGGTCAACTTGCCCCGGGTTTTTACCCCATCAAATTCTCATTTTCATTACCATCCCATTCTGCAAACTCCCTGTTTCCATTCCGAGATATTTAAATGCCTCTTGGGCAAGTTGCCCTGGGGCGATGAATAAAAAAAGTACCACGTGGAAAGAGAGTAGCAAAAATGCACAGCCATGGTGGGATATAAAACGAAGCGACTAAAACTTACTGGAGGATGAGTGGATGCACTTGCTCCATCAGTAGAACTACTATCCACGATATCAGCAAATTCGTTTATCCACGCAGATGGGCAATATGCCAATATTTCCAGAACCCTGAATGTCATGACTGGATCTATTTTGAGCGGTTTGAACACATGGATCACATATTTCATGGCGGTTCGGCGATGCGAGGGTATTAATTCGCAATTCGGTATTATTTGTATGGTATTTCATTTTCACAAAAGTTGACAAGTAGTGTCTACAAACTTTGGCTGGCATCATTTCGTGGCTTCACAAGATTTCACAGGTCCCCACTTCGATTTACACGTCCATGGCAAGTAGCTAAAATGCAGAATCCCCACCCCGCACCCACCCCTCCCGTCGCCGAATTCCGCTCAAATGTTTTTTCATACTTCTACCCCAAGATTATATATTAACAGCGAACATTACCATGGTTCATG